GCGACACAGTCAACAGTGGCCGTGCTCATATCTACATGGCAGAACACTGTATCGGCACACAGGGATATCGATCTGGATTAAGAGCAAAATGTCCAGTCGAAGTCAAAATCGCAATGCGGCAAGCAGTTGAAGCTGGTGTCATCTTTAGTCGCACAGAAATGGATGGTATTTTGTGTTCAGAACGCATCCCACCGCAGTTTCTGGTCAGCATCTCAGAAGATGGACAGGTGCTTTGGTCCCGCGCCGAGAGCAATCTCGAGCCCAGCACATGGACAGGCGCGGAATCAGCCTCAGCACCGAAATCCAGAGCGGTCACCCTGACTGCCCGAGATGATGCAAATGACGACCCAATGGATGACACCAGCACGGGGCGACCCGATGCCAGATCCACCGACGATGCCAAATCCACCGATGATGCAGCCACTGCCCCAATGCAAGTTGACCAGCCGCCCGCGAGGGCGCGCCGTGTTTACGTTGCACCAAAGTACTGCGAACCTTTCATGGGCTCCTGCCCCCTCTGCCAGGTCGAGTACGTCAGCGGCCAAGTGACTTGTACCACATGTGGATTTGAGCCACTCCCAGTGGACGAAAGTGGCGAAACAAAAGAGGCCGACAAACCCAACAGAAGGACCCGCATCCTTGAACGGCGAATGCAGAGTCTCGCCGGGTTCGGAATGTTTGGGAAAATGAGCGGCAGCTTGTTGACGGCTTTGACAAATGAGCAAGCCGATCTTCTTCGCCGGGAACTGGGCCCCAGGGGGATCACATCCGTGGAATCAGCAGTCCTCAAAGACTGCCGCGACAGACACAGACGTGCAAAGGCACTGGGCTACGAGGACGTTGAAGATCGCTATACCAGTGACGTCACGTTCTGTGACCACATCCACGGGGAGGGAAAAGGCCTGCAGGACTGTATCTTTGACGATATGTTCGCATACGGCAACCTCCCGGATCCACCCAGGACCAGAGCTCAGATCTCGGCTGGCGTCGCCGCCAATGCCCAAAATGAAAACTGCTTATCAAAGTTGATTTTCATGTCCCAACCTCGAGGTGTGGAAGGGTTCCCAGTTGAGTTCCGAAAAACATGGAAGAAAACCTGGGGTTTCATGTTCGGCCGCCACATTTTTACAGAGGATGAATATGTCAGCTACATCGGCCGTCGTGGCGCATTCCGTGGCCTGCTGACCTGGAAGGGCACCGTCCAAGTTCCTTTTGATGGCACTCTTGAATTCCTCGAAAAGCTGTATGAGGAAAACCTTCCATTGGTTCGGGGCAACCTTGAACGCAAAGAGAAGCAGAGCGCCGCTGCAAAGGCTGGAGGTCCTGGAGGTCAAAAGGCCGACACCACGGTCGCGCCCACCATTGAGCGAAAGCGCAAAGCCGAAGTTGATGCATCCGCCACCGCACATGATGACACAGCCGCCTCAAGCTCTGCTCGCGCAGACGCCTCGCACGCTGATGCCTCAGTTGATCCCAACAATGCACCATTTCTTGCACCCGAACCACCAACATCCAAAGCAGGAGCACGACCATTCTTGGAGCCTGAGACGCCGCCCACTGCAAAAGCAGCAAGCACAGTCACATCGAAGGCTGCAAGCTCCGGTCGCCCGGATGCCTCTTGGAGTTGGAATCGTGATCACTATGGTGCACGCCGAGAATGGAGTTTCTGGCGTGGGGCTTGGTATTACCGTGACGAGGCCGGCGGCCGTTGGATCTATTGGAACCGCAGGTAGACGATGATTTTCTTTTGTAGCATAGCGCAAGATGCGGCATGGTAATGTGCCTTCCTTGCAAAGCTGCGCTGGGTTTTACGGGCTTGAGCTTTTTAAAGGGACCTTTGAAAGACTGCATAAAATGATCAAAACCAAATAAACAGATTTGGCTACCCGCGAGGGTATGCTCTTCTGGGTTATTCGTTCTCCGCAGTCGTCCCTGCTCGCCCGAGGGGGGTGTAAAAACTCCTGCAGTAAAACCATGTATTGTACATATCATCGTGCTACTCTGTAGCGTTGGTTCAAAAGAGCTGAGTGCTTAGCGGTTTTGTGGTTCAACCCCATTGTAGGTTACATTGGTGGCTGACCTTGTAAAATACACCAACTGTGGGTTTTTGGAATATTTTATTAATCTAAAATGATTTGGACACTCTCCAATGTACAATATGGTTTTTATTTTAATTTTTTAGGGTAATACCTCTTTTTCAAATGTACCGCAACCTTCCTTAAGGCACCCTTCCTGGGGTCGTAACACATTTGTTGCCAATACTTTTGTCTCGAGATGCCCGTAATAAAAAGGTACAGCTTGTCCTTTTTCGTTGGTGTGTCTTTGTGTGTGTGTGTGTAACATCTGAATAGATGTAAAACTTCTTCTCTCTCTTTTTCTTCCTTTGTCCTCTCCCTTTCTAATTCTAAATATAATGCAGGGGGCCCACGGGTCTGACTCCTGGCGTGGGCCAACGAAGCTCCAGGTGTCAGACTAGGATATCAGGAAGGGACGCTTTCCTGACGTACCTGCTTTTTCCGACATAGCAAGGGGCCAAGCTCAGAACCCCAACTACCATGATTTTATTCCTTCACGGTTGCCACAATCTGTAGTTTATGCATCAGAACCTTCCTCAGTTTTTCGCCGAAACCATGTCGCCGACAGTATTCTTGATTTTTTGGATTTTTCGCCGAAACCATGTCGCCGATGTATTTGGATTATTTTGTCAGAACCACGTCGCCGATTTATTTATTTTTTTGATGACGATCTTGGCCATGGAAACCATTCAGGAGAACGACTATTATTCGTAGGATGCATCGTTAATTTCGTTGTTTCATATCTAATCTGCATGTTTCAGGATTCAGTTCCTGCCGGATCATATAATGATCCATTCTTGTCTAGTGTGTGGGGTATCAGTCTTCAATTCAATTTGTTTACAGTACCCCACATTTTACCATCCCACCATTTAGTTTTTGCAAATCTTGTTGTGGACAGGAGGGGCGGCTTGATGGTGTCTTTCTTTTTGAAATGAGGCTGTTATCGGTGGCATATTTCAAGCATATTTCTAATGTCAATGATCGGGTGTGTGTCACTACCGGCTCTTTTTGGACAGCTTTTGCACACCCACTTTGTTTATTTTCAACATAGATTCTTAGATGATGTTCCAACATTCTGTTCACAATTCACTTTTCGACAATCTTCTATATATTTGAAATGAGATTGGCCACCGCCCAACGGTTCCCTGACCGAGCCATCTTCTATTTTCAATGGAAACCTTCGAATTTTCAGAAATGTGGTTCTTCTGTTTGAAAAATTGCCTTAATATCTTCTAAAAATAGCGTTCCGGAGAATAGCTGGACATGCAGGTGACAAGGATGCGCCAGCTACAGCCGAGCTGGCCCTTCCGTTTTGCACCTTTTTGTGAAGTCCCGCGGCTCCTGTCGTCCCTTGAGACCCTGGTGAAATTCTTTTCTACTGAGTGAAGTTGTGCCGAACATTCAGAAACCTCTTATTCTGCAGCACTTTCACAGCGACATTTGGCAACATTACATGAAACTGGATCAGGCAGGCTCATGTCTTTCAGGTGTGGTCTTTTTCCTTTTGATGGTTGTCTGGTGAGGTGAAACATGTTGTGCACCTAATTCGTTGGAACTTGAAAGCTGTTTTATGCCAATTGGGGCACGACTTGACCACGGTCCCGGTGCAGGGAATAATCGCACGACCTTTAGGCATTTAGGGACTGAATCCTGTTTTTAATTAATTGTTTTGGTTTTCCTGTCTGTCATCAACTAGTCCCCCATTTGGTCCCTAATTTCCCCGCGTGCCTCTCCGTAATGTGTCGTGGGGTTTAGGTGTGTGCGCTGTTTTGTTCAGGTCCGTTTCGCCGTGTAGGTTGGTTCCGGAGGTCCGTCTGTTCCCCTCCCCCCCTGCGCTGTTTTTGGCCGTCTGCCCTTCGTGTGTCCGCTTTTTTCTTCCTCTTGCCTTTCAGGGTTGACCCGGCTCCGGCCGGGTGTGTGTGTGTAACATCTGAATAGATGTAAAACTTCTTCTCTCTCTTTTTCTTCCTTTGTCCTCCCCCTTTCTAATTCTAAATATAATGCAGGGGGCCCACGGGTCTGACTCCTGGCGTGGGCCAACGAAGCTCCAGGTGTCAGACTAGGATATCAGGAAGGGACGCTTTCCTGACGTACCTGCTTTTTCCGACATAGCAAGGGGCCAAGCTCAGAACCCCAACTACCATGATTTTATTCCTTCACGGTTGCCACAATCTGTAGTTTATGCATCAGAACCTTCCTCAGTTTTTCGCCGAAACCATGTCGCCGACAGTATTCTTGATTTTTTGGATTTTTCGCCGAAACCATGTCGCCGATGTATTTGGATTATTTTGTCAGAACCACGTCGCCGATTTATTTATTTTTTTGATGACGATCTTGGCCATGGAAACCATTCAGGAGAACGACTATTATTCGTAGGATGCATCGTTAATTTCGTTGTTTCATATCTAATCTGCATGTTTCAGGATTCAGTTCCTGCCGGATCATATAATGATCCATTCTTGTCTAGTGTGTGGGGTATCAGTCTTCAATTCAATTTGTTTACAGTACCCCACATTTTACCATCCCACCATTTAGTTTTTGCAAATCTTGTTGTGGACAGGAGGGGCGGCTTGATGGTGTCTTTCTTTTTGAAATGAGGCTGTTATCGGTGGCATATTTCAAGCATATTTCTAATGTCAATGATCGGGTGTGTGTCACTACCGGCTCTTTTTGGACAGCTTTTGCACACCCACTTTGTTTATTTTCAACATAGATTCTTAGATGATGTTCCAACATTCTGTTCACAATTCACTTTTCGACAATCTTCTATATATTTGAAATGAGATTGGCCACCGCCCAACGGTTCCCTGACCGAGCCATCTTCTATTTTCAATGGAAACCTTCGAATTTTCAGAAATGTGGTTCTTCTGTTTGAAAAATTGCCTTAATATCTTCTAAAAATAGCGTTCCGGAGAATAGCTGGACATGCAGGTGACAAGGATGCGCCAGCTACAGCCGATTGGGTTGCTGAGTGGTGCCCGGAAAGGCCAATCTTGTCCCAGCTGCTGGTCCCAGCTGTTGTCTCAATTTTTTCGACTTATTGCATTTCTTGCTGCTAGGCCTGGACCCTATGAGTTGCATGTGCAGTACATGAGCTGTGAGGGCCAGGACGAACGCGAAATTGCTGGACCAGCATGGCAGTTGGTAGTGCCTGTGCTCAGATATGAGAACAGAAGAAAATTTGATCACCAAATTTTTTGCGACTTGCGCTCCGGCAGCATTTTTTTCTTCGTTTGAACATTGTCAGCTGGCTGTACGGCAACAAAATCTAAGGTGGAGCCTGTCTTGTGTACCTTGGTGCCATGCAAAGCGGAATCAGCGCAGAGTTTGATTTCTAGTCGAGGACAGTTATTTCGAGACCAAACGCATGGGGTAGATTGGATTTTGCGTGGGTTTTGCAGCTTGCAAAGATTCAATGAGAGCATGAATGGCGCCAACAATAAAGTTTGCATGAGGTGTTCAGGGCCAACATCTTCCAGCACGCTCGGCGTTTTGGATGCGTTTCAGAAATGAGGAATTTGCAAGGAATTTGGCAACCAAATTGCAGTCCGCAGAAATTTTCTTTGATGCAGATCAAATTCATCTTCCAAGGTGACCCAACTCACGGTTTTATCTCGCCTTGCCGGTCCCATCGAGCGCTGGCGTGAAACACTTTTGCCACAGGCGTGCTTCCCGTGGGTCCGGAAGGGCACAAATAGTCTTAGCTCATCGCGCTGAACTGTCCAAAAAGAAATCCAAACACTTACCGGGGAGAGGTTTGCTGATTTGCAGGATTTTTGTCCGTCTCTTTTCTCTCCTTTGATCCCTTGTGTATTTGTGTATAGTTACGGGATTTGTCACTTTACCTTTAGGCTGACTCTGTGATATGATGCGCTAAGCCGATGAACTGGGATGCTGCCGAACTGCCAAATGTCAGCTTTAGCTCGCCTTCAACATGAATGCTGAACTCCTGGGGACAGCGATGGAGAGAGTGCGAGAGAAACACTTAATGTATACATTTGAAATTGATCCCGTATCTCTTGAAGAGTCTTTAGGATTATAACGTCAGCAGGCTCTAGGAAGGAGGGTTTTCAAAACACATGTCTTTATTTTTTTTTGAACCAGATATGATTTGTTGTTATCATTTGCTTGTAGCCTGGTTTTGCAGTTATGATTTTGATATGGTTTCACTTATGATTGATGTGGCTCCGTTCCCAAACCATGTCAAAACCACATGTAAAGTATAACCCAGACTCAGACCACATCCAAATTGTAACAAAACCACATCGAAATCGTAACCCCAATTCAAAGCGCATTATAAGATATTATAAGCACATCTTTTCTCACCCTATCGGCCCTATCAGCTACTTCTTGAGTTTGGCTTCCCGGGATTTTGATGTTAGGATTTACCAGGACGATCCCGGCGCCAGGCATCCATGGGCTACAACATGGTCCACTTCACCCCAATACAGCCGCCAGGTTGGCAGCATGGCGATGCCACAGATGCCACAGATGCCACAGACTTGACGACAGTGACCGAGGGATCTGCGCCAGGTGAGAGTGGGAGCTGCTATGCGCTGGATGATCAGGCACGGTTCAGGACTTCGCGCACGTGTCTTGCTTCATTCCTGTAATTGCAATTGTAGTTTCCCTTTTTGAATCGGCTTGTGAAATCCTCTCAGGCAGATATTGACCCTAGCCTCATGGAGTCCCCGCCATCCGACAAAGAGGGCAGGCGGGCAGATTTCGGGTCTTAGCAGGGCCATCAAGTTGCAACCCGGCACCACATTCACAGGTGGAAAGTGGTTCAGCAGTCAGTGGCTTCTTGGTAGCACGTTTTGCGACGGGGCTCCACTGGAACAGGAGTTGGTAAAATCATGTTGTACCGTTTTAGTTTTGGCTAGTTCGAAATCTAACTTCAAATGGTTTTTGAACATGTTCCCCACTGTGGTTGTCATGTTTGGAAATCGACAATTTCACTACCCACGGATGTTACCTGTTGTACAGGAATGAATGGGTTGCCTCTTACCCCTCGGCTGAACAGCCTTGGTCCTAGGAGAGCTTGGAAAATGCGGGTCTTCTGTCAGCCATGGACATCGTATTGAACCACTGTGCAGGATTGTGGGCTGATTTGGCTCATGGTGTCATTCTTGCCTTGCTGTCTGCAGAGGTTCCCCTGTAAGCTTGATATGATTTGCATTATACGCTTTCCAGCGCGTGATTGATATTCAATTCTCCCAAGAAGGTCTGTATGCAACACCTCTGGCCCGTCGTCAGGAAGTGCACCTTGGCTTTTGGAAGAGCCAGATTCTGCCTACAACGTGCCTTGGCTTTCAGAGTCTTTCAGGTCTTGCATTTCTCAAAGTGAGAGAGTGAGTGTTTGTGGTGGGATTGCGTGCTTGCGTTTGTGATAGTGATAGTGGTGGCAAAAGACACAACAGAAAGAGCATTCCAAGAATCTACGTCGACACGCAGACGTGCGCCGCCGGATTACTTTGAGATGTTTCCACGTTTCAACAACTTTATTGCAAGGTGAAAAATTGCCCACATTTGGCAGCAGCTGCTGAGCTTGATCTAAAATTGGTCCTTTCCTCAGAAATGTCAGTATCTTTGTGGCATTTGCGGCTGTCAGAAAGTCAGAAAGCATGGGAGGGATTTTTTTCCAGTGAGGATGGTGTTCCTTTTTGCTCCTCTGACAGGCTTGGTTCTCAAATGAGTTGAAGAAGGGCAACTTTGGCGGTCCAAACATTCAGGACTCTGCGCATGGACAGATTGTCTGATATGTATGCAAAAAAGCACTTCCCTGCAAGCCTAGATCTTTTGAGAAGCAGTAGTCACTGTCAGCAAACGTTGTTGGCCCGTTGGCTGTACCCACTGCCCCTGGCAGAACCATGGAGACCTTGAGCGCGTTCTTGGAGGAATTAGCCAGCACGTTTTGGGTGCGCTCAACCTGCGTAGCTCTGCTGAACGCGATGTCTTGTCATCGTGAACTTATGCACCACCGCCGCCACCACCAGCAGCAGCAGCATCAGCATCAGCAGCATCAGCATCAGCATCAGCATCATCATCATCATCCTCCTCCTCCTCCTCATCCTCCTCATCATCCTCCTCATCATCCTCATCTCCTCATCCTATCCTCCTCATCATCCTCCTCATCATCCTCATCCGCATCCGCATCCTCATCCTCATCCTCATCCTCATCCTCCTCCTCGTCATCGTCCTCGTCATCGGCATCCTCATCCTCGTCATCGTCCTCGTCATCGGCATCGTCCTCCACTGGTTTTGGTATGTTTTGGTGAACGTATTTGCTGATTTTGGTCTTTTGGACCCTTTTACCAGCTTGGATGCTCACCATGAAACCTAGGCGAATATTTTCGTGTGAACGAAGCGCTGTCCATTGAAGCCTGGAAGACCAGCGAAGCCACTGAATCCAGGAGATGAACGGTTGTGTGGAACAAACTCGTAGTGGTCAGGCTGTTTCAATTGTTAATCAAATATAATCAAATCATTTCCAGGTTCTACCTGCGTTGATGATTTTTAAATTTCTATTGACCTTGATAATTATTATGCTGGATATGTTTGATATGTGGGGCACCACAACACGCCAGCGCACTAGGACATCGCAGCAAGACACCTATGAGCTCCTAAAGAACAGCTTGCTGCCATCTCTTGGAGCCAATCGCTCCGGCGCTGTCATTCCTGGAGAGGTCTCCAAGCAGCTGTGCCCAAACATCGATGCGTTGAAAGCTCACATGTCGAGACTCCAGTCTGACTTAGTTGCTCACTTCAATGGTATTGAGCAGGACATTCTTCAGTCTTTGCGTGGAAGTATCCACGAGAGACTGGTGCAGAAGAAAGGGCCAGTGGGAGATGGAAATTCCGCTTTGGTTGAGCCTTACTTCCGGCGTTTGCAGCTAACATCAGCTGCCGTCGAACGTTTGGGCTACGATGAGGAAATTGTTGCGCACAATGGATGGGTCATGGATTGGCCTGCAACTGAGGACTTTGCAGCCCCTTCATGGCGAATGGTGTACCTGAGGCGTCACCTATGTGTTTGGACGGATACGGTGAAGCTGCGCTATGGTGACAGCGAAGCTGACGCTCCATTTGTATGGAAACATATGACCGACTATGCGGTCAGTATGGCGAAGATCTTCCATGCAATCCGCTTGGACAATGCACATTCAACACCTTTGCATGTGAGTCGGCATGTTCTAGCTCGAGTTCGCGAGGTGAATCCTCATTGTTGGGTGTTTGCTGAATTGTTCACAGGGAACTTCGAGACAGACCTGCTGTACCAGAGGACTTTGGGGATCAATGCTTTAATCCGTGAGGCAATGCAATGTGACAGCCCAGCTGATTTAGGAAACAAGCTTCAAAGCCCAATTTGGAATGGCCATCCAGTTGGAGCACTCTCTCCCATCCCCACCCTAGACCGTGTACCGCCCGCTCAAAAGACGCACCAGAAACACCTTAGCAAATGCCCGTCAAGAACCTTGTTGGCAGCACCGGCGCGCGAAGCAGTGCCCTTGTTGCCCCGGCATTGCCCCGCTCTTCTCTTCGATTGCACCCATGACAACCAGACGCCTGCGCAAAAGAGGCATCCCCGGGATGCGCTTCCCAATGCAGCTTTGGTGGCAGCAAGCTGTGCCAGTGCCGGGAGTGTGCGAGGCTATGATGAGCTCTTCCCAATCAATCCTTCAGTGGTGTCAGAGCGAAGACATTATCAGAAAGCGCCTGAAGTTGAGGAGCTGAAGTTGGGTGGCTTCGGATCTACAACAAAAGATGTGCAGCCCGAAGAAACCGAGACCGAGAAAGAGTTTGAGATCACTTGGCATAGGAACGCCGCCAAAGTTGTAGCACGTGGTGCTTGGGATGGTTGGAGTGCAGACCTGAACTTCACTCAAGCTTCAGATGGTGTTTGGACTGCCAAGCTGAAGGCGGAAATTAGCCGGCTACCTTTGCAGTACAAATTCATCGTGGATGAGCAATGGACCATCAATGAGCAGCTTCCGCTGGCCCAGGATGAGCATGGAAACCGTAACAACGTGCTCAGCATGCCAGGCATTGCGCCAGGCATTGCGCCAAACAGTGGCTCGATGTCAGGACCCGATGCTCTGATCAACAAATTGCCAGGAATTTTGACAGTGAAGCAGGTATTGAACAAGTTGCATTCGCAACTTGGAAAAGATGGCTACACTGAAATCCGCGTTCAATTCCTTGCAGATGATACCCTTGCAGTCGAAAGGCGGTCCCCGGACAATTCCCATTCAGTGTGGTTCGTGGTTCGTTCGGCTTTCTGGAGAGATCGCATGGGTGATAGCCTTGATGCAAATGTGTTGGAACTTGATGGTATCCTTTCACACCTTCACATTGCAGCCACTCTGTTTGTGGGGGATAAGCATGAAAACGGCTACTGCCAGAATCAGCAGTGTCTCTCTGGCCTGGAGTGCTTTCTGCATGTTTACGGCTCCATGCAAGAAGTTGCTCACACTTGGACGGAGGGTGGGAATTCCAAGGTTCGACTGACCAGGTTTCCACCTGGTAGTGTGTTGGTGTTCAGTACAGATGCATCCAAGGCTCAGCAAAGACATTCAGCAGTGATGAAGCTCCTAGCAGCTGAAGAGATTTACAGTCCACTTTTTGGCCTAGAGCTGCATCAGCTGAATTACCTGCTTTACTCTTGTGAGTCTGAGGAAAGGGATCGTTCCAATGGCAAACGTGGCACCTATGGGGTTCCAGGTTCAGGGCCTTTGGCGTATTGCGGTCTGATGGGTGTTTGTGCTGCTCTGGATGAGGCACGGTGCAAATTTACCGAGGACCAGTTGTTGAATGCACCAATTGCCAACAATCTTCGTGCAGGTGATTGGCTTATCCAGTGCTTGGTGGATCGTTTGGTGGATATGCCAGGTTTGGAACAGGTCGGAGATTGGCTGCGAAGGGCAGCTCAAATCCTGGCAGGGTGCCCAAGAACCCTGGCTCCTTTTTACTTCGATCTTTTAGTGCCAGGGTTATGTGCTGCGGCCAGCAACTGTCTCTTGGAAGGTTCTTCAGATTTCATTGCAGTGTCCAGCTACAGTTCTGATCTGATACGCAACTTGGCTTTGGCCACTGCTCAATTCTGGGGAGCGACAAAGTCAGCGCCCTTGCATTGGGATCGTGCTCAGACAGAAGGGTGGCATAAACTCCCATCTCTCTGTGCTGGCCTGCCACACTTCTCGGCCGGATTCATGCGGAACTGGGGACGTGACACCTTCATCTCCCTCCGAGGTTGCCTTCTTGTGACTGGACATTTCCAAGAGGCCCGGGACACGCTCCTTGTGTATGCGAATGTTGTTCGGCATGGACTGTGTCCAAACTTGTTGGATGCAGCAAATCGACCGCGCTACAATGCCCGTGATGCGACCTGGTTTTTTATGCAAGCCATTCAGGACTATGTGGCAGAATCTCCCGAGGGTGAGGAATTTTTGTCAGCACCAGTGAGCTTGAAGTGGCCTGTGAAAGACTGGGATGCGGAATTGTCGGATTTGGAGCCGCAGACCATTTCTGATTTGATTCATTTGATTTTCTCAGCGCATGCCAAGGGGATCAAGTTCCGTGAGTGGGGTGCTGGCCGCGGTCCGGATGCTGGCAAGGGTGCCTTGGCTGCATGAGGTTTGCGGGAATTTTCCGCAGTTTGCTAGCACAGTCGGCATGATCGGCCTGACTCAGCTTCTGTTTGTTATGTTTTTCCCAAAAGCATCTCCGATGTGTTGGGTTCTCGTTTAGTTTGCTTCGCCGTGAGGGGAGCGAGACGCGTGGACGGACAGGACGCCTTGCAAACTAGCTTCGGGAGAGCTTTGCTGGACGAGAGCGACGGGAAATAGCTTGGGGAGAGCTTCGCTGGGAGGGAGCGAGCCGAGCAGCGTGGACAGACAGAAAACGGTTGGAAATAGCTTGGGCCGCTTGGGGAAAGCTCCGCTGGGAGGGAGCGAGCATGCAGCGTGGATGGACAGGAAACCGTGGAAATATATAGCTTGGGGAGAGCTGCGCTGGGAGGGAGCGAGATTGCAGCGTGGACGGGGAGGGATCGAGCATGCAGCGTGGACGGACAGGAAACCGTTGGAAGTAGCTTGGGGAACGCCGCGCTGGGAAGGAGCGAGCGCGGTGTGGAGCTCCGTTGGGAGGGAGCGACTGAAAAATGTAGAGCTGTTGGCACGGGTTTTTCAAGACAAATTCCATCAATGCGAAAGATTTTTCAGATGGTTTTCAAACGCTGGGTGATTGGACATGCATAGCTTCGTTGGCAGGGAGCGACACTAAAAACGGAGAGCTGTTGGCACCGATTTTTCAAGACAAATTCAATCAACGCGATTGTCCCGAAAAACTGGGCACCCAAGACTTGTCAAAGTTCCCAATCGCTGGGCGATGGGGCATACATAGCTTCGTTGGCAGGGAGCGCCACTAAAAATGCAGAGCTGTTGGCACGGGTTTTCAGGACAAATTCCATCAACACGTTCTCCCGAAAAACTGTGCGCGTGGACGGACAGGAGACCGTGCGAAATAGCTTCGGGAGAGCTTTGCTGGGAGGGAGCGAGCATGCGTGGAAGAATTGGAAACCGTTAAAAAGGGGAAATGGGTCGGTAGTGTTAGAAGGAAGCGAGAATGCAGCGTGGACAGGCTGGAAACCGTTGAAAATAGCTTGAAGTGGTGACCTGTAGCAAAGTGGTGACTAAGGGAATTGGTGACTTAGGGAAGTGGTGACCTCTTATGGTGACTGAGGGAAGTGGTGACCTCTTGTGGTGACTAAGGGAAGTGGTGACCTAGGGAAGTGGTGACCTATAGGGTGACCTATAGGGAAGTAGAAGTGGGAGAGCTCCATTGGGAGGGAGCGACATACTGAGAATGCAGAGCTGTTGGCACGGGTTTTCAGGACAAATTTCATCAATACGATTGTTCCGAAAAACTGTGCGCCCAAGACTTGTCAAATGATTTCCAAACCCTGGGCCATGGGACATGCATAGTAGCTTTTACACAGAGAAGTCTTCACACGGAGAAGTCTTGTCGAAGAGAAACCTCCCCACACAGAGGCTTTTACAGAGAGAAGTCCTTTATACAGAGAAGTCTTGACACAGAAGAGCTTTTGCACAGAGAAGTCCATGCACAAAGGAGGTTTACACACAGAAGCTTTTACTCACAGACACGTTTGCACACAGAAGGTTTTGCAAATAGAGGCCTTCACGGCGCACAGAAAAGAAACTTTTACACAGAGCAGCTTTTACACACAGAAGCATGTACACAAAAAACACCTTTACACAGAGAAGTTTTTACACACAGGAGCTTTTGCACAAGGAAACTTTTACACAGGAAAGCTTTTTCACACAGAAGCTTTTACACACAGAAGCTCTAGAAGTCTTACGCAGAGGAGCTTTTACGCACAGAGGCGTTTACACAGAAAATCCTTTACACAGAGGAGCTCTTGCACACAGAAACTTTTACGCGCAGAAGCTTTTATACAGAGTAGCTTTTACACAGAAAAGTCTTACACAGAGAAGCTTTTACGCACAGACGCGTTTACACAGAGAAGTCTTCACACAGAGAAGTCTTTACACAGAAGGGCTTTTGCACACAGAATCTTGTACACACAGGCGCGTTCACACACAGACGGTTTTACAAACAGACAGCTTTGCGGCGCACAGAACTTTTACATAGAGCAGCTTTTACACAGCGAAACTTGTACACACAGGGGAGCTCTTATACACAGAAGCTTTTGCACATTTTTTTTTACATTCAGAAGCTTTTACACACAGAAACTTTTACACACACACAGAGGCTTTCACACACAGAAACTTTTACGCAACAAAACCTTTACAGTTACACAGAGGAGCTTTTACACACAGAAGCGTTTACACAGAGGAGTCTTTACACACGGAGGCGTTTACACAGCGAAGCTTTTACACACAGAAGCTTTTTTCCAGAGTAGTTTTTGCACAGAGAAGTCCTTACATGTCTTGACACAGAGAAGCTTGTACACACAGAGGCTTTTACACAGAGAAACCTTTTACACAGAGCAACTTTTTCACAGAGGAGCTTTTACACAGAGGAGCTTTTACACAGAAAAACTTGTACAATCAGAGGCTTTGACACAGAGAAGTTTTTTTTATACAGAGAGACGTTTACACAGAGAAACTTAAAAAAAAACCTTTACACAGAGAAATTTTTACACACAGAAACTTTTACATACAGAAATTTTCACGCAAAGAAACTTTACACACAGAAACCTTTACACACAGAAACTTTTACACATATTTTTTCACAAAAAACCTTTACACAGAGGAATGCGCAAAGAAACTTTTATGCACAGACTTGTTTACACACAGTAGCTTTTATGCATAGAAACTTTTGTACAGAGAAGTCTTTACCCATCTTTCATCATGTCTCATCTTTATGATCATTCACCATCTGTCCCCTTCATATCTTCGTTTGCATGCTCTTTAGGTCAACTCCCTCTGTCGTTTAGTTTCCATTTTGCACAGTGTAACATTTTTGAAATAAGGGTGCTGTGTGCCGTCTTGCTTTTGGGTTCTCTGGCCCACCTTGTTTCTTTGCGTTCTGGACTTGTTCCGTCCCAGGTATCGATGATGACATGAGCGAGAGAGGCTTTGATGTGAGTGTGAGCTTGGATGAGACGTCGGGCATAATCTATGGTGGCAGTGAGCACAACTGTGGTACTTGGATGGATAAGATGGGATCATCAGCAAAAGCTGGAAACAAAGGCAAACCAGCCACTCCAAGGGATGGTGCAGCTGTGGAAATCATAGGTTTGTTGAAGTCTTCTCTGCGATGGGTGTGCGAGCTCAACAAGGAAATCTTCAAATACGGTGCCGTGAAGACATCCTCAGGACAACATCTTGAATACAGTGAGTGGAACCAACGCCTTCAAGCAAACTTTGAGCGATTGTTTTGGATAGATCCTGATGAGAAGGGAGGTGCATCATGCGCAGGAATCTACAGAGATACGGTGGGAGCTAGCAGGAAATGGCAAGACACACAGCTGCGGCCCAATTTCTGCATCGCAATGTCAGTTGCACCGGAGCTCTTTGCGCCAGAGCGTGCCCAGGCTGCCCTGTCCACAGTGGCCAGTCGTCTCATTGGACCGTTGGGTATTTGCACCCTGGATCCAACAGACAAAGAGTACCGCGGCGACTACCACAATGACAACGACTCCGCAGACACAGCAATTGCACATGGCTGGAACTATCACCAGGGGCCTGAGTGGGTTTGGCCATTGGGTTTCTTTTTGGAGGCCTGGCACCACTTCGGAAGCAATGGTGAGGCCGATGCAGCAAGACAGGCCATGCGCTGGCTGATGGAGCATCGGTCCATGTTGCGCGAAGCTCCATGGAGATCGTTGCCGGAGTTGACCAACAGCAAAGGACAGCATTGTCACCACTCTTGTCCGGCTCAGGCATGGAGTCTGGGCACGCTCCTAGCTGCGCTGCGAGTCATGAACCGGTGACTGCAATGCACCGTGACCAACACAAACTTGGACTGAGATACAGTTGGCTACTTTTGTCGCATCTGAGAGGTAAGAGATTTGTACAATTGTTTAAGTTGAAGTGGAGTGGTATGCCTGCAAACAAAGGCAGAAGGCACAGGAGAGGCCACAAGTCACTAGGAATTAAAAACAAGCATTGAATACCAAAAGTGAAACTGATGTCAGACTATCCAATGTGTGTCTGGACGTTACAATTCTTCTGGTGCATTCTCAGGGCTTCTGCCAAACATGGTTGAGGCAGGCTTTTTGAAAACTGACTCCTCTCGGTCGTGCTGCTTGGCTGAAGTAGCTCAAGCAAGTTGCTTCTCGTATTCGCAGAGACTCAGATACCGTACAAATTCTTTGCTCAGCCTTTTCGCCAACATGAAACCTTGCTTCTCGTACCAGCTTTTTACAAGTCTTATTCCTTGCTTTGAATCTGCTTGATGCTTAAATCTTTCATCATGGGAGTAGTTGGACATACCCTAAATCTGCAAACTCCCATGTCGTGTGTTTTTGCCATGGAAATCCCAAGTTTTTTCTCATGTTTGGAAGTGCATAACACCCATGTCATGTGCAACAAAAATGCAAAATTGACAGCAAGATCTCAAGAGGGCCTATTATAAATTTATAAATGAATTATGGATAGATAGATAGATAGTCAAGCAGATAGTGCACATATACATACATATATACATATACATATATATATATATGTATATATTATTATATAGATGCGTACATACAAAAAAATATATACATACATAATTACCAAATACACATACACCACGCAAAAGAACCATGCAACATACATGCATGTTGTCCTTTGAGTCAAGTGAGTATGAGACAGGGCTCGTAAGGTCAGTGTTCGCCCAAAAGTGGCGCCTCTAGACTTTGGGCGGGTTCATCACCACTGGACCCTGTGAATACAGGACTTGCTGTGTTGGTGTGTCCTGCAACTTGCTTGAATAGCTGATCGTCAGACTGGTTCCGGTTCCACAATAAAAGAAGGCAAAACGTCAGCTTTCTGTGTGGTTGGATTTTGGTCGAACTTTGCAATCTTTGGCCAGGTCAATGGATGCTTCAAAGTCAAAGCTCAAGTTAATCACCCTTGCACAGAACTCTTGTCTGCAAGTGTGCGAATGCAGGCCTTTGGCTTATAATGACTTGCAGCTAAATGAACGGTGGGCTTCATTGGTGCCATGGAGGATGGACGGCCTCGTGTAACACTGATCGCCAAGGCAGACAAGGCCGACAAGGCTGAGAAGTTGGCTGAGCCTCCTGAGTTGCTGGGTGATGGGCGCCTTCGACCCGCACCTGCGCGTGTTCGGCCCAGAGAAGAGAAGGAAGCCACGGTGACGGTGGTGCGGCCTAGCCCGCGAAAGACGGTGCCCAGCAACATGGTCAAGACTCCTCAAAGTGGGACTGCGGGGACGACGGGGACTGCGGCTTTGGCTCCCAGTTCAGTGAGCCCAGCCAAAGCCCGGATGCCAGCGAAGCGGTCTGCTGCAGCCAGTGGACTGGATGCAAATGGATCCATCCCAAAGCGCAAGGGGGTCAGCAATGCCTTGAAAGTCGGCGTTCCCGTGCCACGTGCACCAAATAAGTCACCTGCTGTACCAACAACAGTGAAATCGAATGGTGCAGATGCAGATGCCAGGACCTCAGGCCTCAGGCCTCAGGCCTTAGGCTATGAATTCATGTTGGTAATGCCAGTCAGCTCTTGAATTTTAGCAACATCATGAAACATCCGTAACTCATAAACTGCACCCTGTAAACTTGGACTCACCAACCCTAGCTCAGTGACCTTCGAAGCTGAGGTTGTGGTGACCTCTGCTATAGTGAAACCACCAGCGCCTCCCAGAGCTGCTGATGCCCCACCACTCTCTGCGGCTCTGTTCAATGTCGGAGGGCAGACGTTCCAAGTGGCAGCGAAGCTCATCAGATCAAAGGCTGATACTTTGCCCGCGAAGCTGTTGGCCAAGGCTGCAGATCCTACTAGACCACTACATGTCCCGGTGGATATTTGCCCTGAACGATTTCGAATCTTGCTGGACTGGTATCGCTATGGCGAGATTTGGGTGCCCAATACTGTGGCAACCAAAGCTGTCCTACGAGATGCGGCGCGTTGACGGCTTAGTTTTTCATCTGCCAGCTTGGACAATGCTTGAAGTTTAAAAGGACCACCGAAGCAAAATATGCAAAGTGACCACCGAAGACAAGCTCAAATAGCCCCAGGAAGATGGACAAGTTTATCCACAATACTCCTTTGACTTGTGATTTACTGTAGCTATGGGACCGTGGGGATGCCAAGAAATTGGGGCTGCTGTTCCCGACAAAACCCAGCAAAATCTAAGGTTTGGATTTCCCAAACGAGATTGTCGTGAATGGTGTGCTGCGCAGCCTGCACCAGTTAGATGCCAATCAAGTTGGGCGATCATTGCTCACCGGAGTCATCAACAGGCTGATTTTCTATATTTTCTGACGTTTTCTTTCTCAGTCTGGCTGTTTCAGAAGAGGACACCAATCAGCAATACTTTGTTGCCTTATGTTGCCTTGCAGGTGGCAAGGCTTCCAGCCCTTTTTTGCAAACGTTCTGAGCCAGATAGACGAACACTTCAAGTCTGTTGCGCCGTGTGCTTAGTTCTGTAGGCGTGAAGTGTTTTGCAGTTGTTTCATGGCATACCTCTTGGGGATTTGGAAACACGTGCGCACTTCAAATGCCACCTGGACTTGGGAGTGATTTGTAATTTGCCCCTCAGCGACATGAATTGTGAGCACGCTAAATACGCATCAACACAACCAAGCTAGGCTGGCTAGGGTCAAGTTTCTTACTTGACATCAGTCTGATGTTGAATTTGCTGCGAGCCCCAAAGGTCGCAGTCTGCAGCTAGCGTCGAAGCAAAGGACGAGGAAGCAGCGTGTGCAGAAGAGGCATTTGATTTCCCCCGTTTTGTCGTCCCACTCTTCAGCGAGGAGGCTGGGCTGTGGTCTTCAGTTTTTGCTTGTCTAGTCTGCGCAATTGCGCAGGAATCATTTTAGCAATCAACCTACGGTCTCAGTCTGATGAATTCTTGGTGGATGTGACTCGTTGTCCCTGACAGGGATGGGTGTCGCCGAACCATATTTGTAGTGCATCCAGGGCGCGAATCTTGGCGCTGAAGTTGGAGGAGCTGGGGTACCTCTGTGAATTTTCGGATGCGGACTTGCTGGTCAGCTTGCCTCTCAAGCTTCGATGCGAGCTACAAGCTGCGGGTCTCCTGATCGAGGAAAGAGTGTGATTTGAAACACGAAGGGTCTTGAGATTGCACATCATCACGCCACTCTTTGTGTTGACTTCAATTTTGAACACATTCATTGTTTAATGACACATGCTGCAAGAATACGCAGATCCGAAGGGCTTGACGTTTGCCACCTTAGGTGGTCACGAAGGAGTTGGAGAGCCTCCGCCTCAAAGTGAAGCAAAAGACGGTGTAGGCGTAGGCGGCATAGGTGTAAAAAATGCATACCTTGCCAAGACTGGAGCTTAGCTCTTGAACAGCTCAGAGTCTCAGGTTTCAGGTTGTTAGCTCCCATGGGTGAGGAAGCAAAGTGCTTGCTCATCCATTCTAAACGACATGGTGAACTTGATGTGGTAGAAGGAAAGCGTGTCGTCTGGAACTGTGCCTCATAAGACAAGTTTATGCCACACACCTGTCAGATCTGTGTTGGAACGGAACACATGTCAAGCCGTCCAATTCCATTTGCGCCATCCATTTGTATCACTCATGACACAGCATGACAGTGTTTTGTCTTGGTTCACCCTTCGCAGATTTTTGCCACTTGCTCTGATGGTCACCTGGGTCCTGTACCATGGCGTCCAAACGTGTGCTGACCGTTGGAGATGGAGATTTGTCCTTCTCCCTGGCACTGGTCCGAGCCTTTGACATCCAAGTGGTCGCAACGACTTGGCTGAGTGCTGAAGACCTGGTCCAGAGATATCGCTCTGCTGCCGGGACTCGAGATGAACTTCTTGAAAGAGGAATGCCTGTTCTACACGAAGTTGATGCTTGCAATCTCCAAAAACTCCCAGAACTTGGGTATGTCGATCCTTTTGATGTTGCTATGTTCAATTTTCCTCACTTGGGAGATGTTGCAGTGGACTGTCATCGTCCAGACAGCGAGCATGTGCGGAAACATGTGGCATTGCTGTCTCATTTCCTTCATTCGGCTAGATCAGTCGCATGTGAAGTTCACATCACTCTTTGTGGCGAGCAAGCGGCCCTTTGGGATCTTCATGGGTCTGCAGAACGACTTGGATGGCTGGAGCATCGGCGTCTTGTATTTATTGTGAGGTTTTGCACTCGACTGATTCATACGCCAAGACATGCAATTGCAAACTGTGTAGTGCGCATGCACCGCATGACAAGCACCCTTAATTCCCAAGAGACATTTTTTGGATCAGTTTGGGGGAGTAGTTTGGAGTAGTTTGGCTATTTGCCATGATGTGTCCCGGTCTTGGGAATGGAGAGGCCTGGAGGCTCGTCCCACAAGCAAGCCGCGGCCAAGGAGACATGCTCCAGCAGATGTAGTGGCCTTGTTGCATTCATGGCCAGGTGTAACACATTTCACAGGACACTGCACAGAACCAAACTGAAGCAAGAATCAGTCAGAGTCAGATTTGACAAAAGAGTAAGGACAAGTCGAGTAAACATGAAACACACACACATATATATATAATATAATTACTTATCATGTTATTCCTCAAGGACTCAAGCTCCCAACAGTTGACAAAGCTTTTTTGCGTACAGTGCTAGAATCGGCTTTGTGTTTTGTGCTTTCCAAGGATGAGTTTGCTTCTGGATCACTTGCAAGTTTGAGCCGTGTTCCAACGCAAGCATCCTGGAGATGTAGGAGGAAATGGAGGAACGGATCCTTGGGTTTCGTTCACTGGGCCTCCCAGTATGGCTATGAGCACCGACGACACGAAGGGGAACAACTCATGAACATCAGCAATTGTACCACCTTTGTGTTCACAAAAAGGTCCCTCAAAGCTGACCTACCCCTCAATAGAATCTCAGGAGAGCCTTTCATCACAGACTATCAGTGCAGTATTTGCGGACAAGAGTTTGAGAATGATCATGCGCTGGCGCTCCATTTCCGAGCTCCAGCTCTGCCGGACAGCTCGGCTCCATCATATACTTGCAGTCAATGCTCCCGAGTTTTCCTCTCTCAACGTGCTTTAAAGCAGCATGTTGTCTCATGCAGCTCAAAGTTGACCCATCATGAAACGGATCTTCCTGGACAAGCCGGGTACAGCATTCGGCCTGCACCTACCGACGTTGTTTCTATGGAATTGGTGGTTGACACCGACGGTGAACGATTCTGGCACTTTGCCCGCCAAAGAGAGGCGTTCCGGAAGCTCCTTCCAACCAAGGCCTCTGTGAAACGAGCCATTGCAGGAGGTGAATTAACGTTGAATGGTGAGGGTGCAGAAGACAGCCGGATCCTGCATCCAGGCGACGTAGTGCAGCTGCGATTGAACAAGGTGCGTGAGGCCCAAGATGCTGGTGCAGCGAGGGCCAGGTTGGTTCGAGTGGTTTCTTTGCACCAGGACTGCCGGTTGGTTTCGGGAGACTTGGCCTCTCCTTCGGCAGGTCCAGACAGTTCAGTAGCACCATGGCAGCTCGTTCGCTCAGTTTGCCCTCCTGATGTCGCAATTGTGTGGAAGCCAAGTGGCATGAGAAGCCTGGGCCAACATGCCGGAACGTTGCAGGCGTCTCTGCCTCTAGTGCCCGAAATGCGCACCCGCAACCTTGTACCCATCCCACTCAGCAGGCTGGAGATCGGTTGTAGCGGATTGAGTCTTGTGGCCTTGACTGAGAAGATTCGCGTGGAACTACAGGAAAAACTCGTGACAGGGGGTATCTACCACGTTTTCAGGGCTTTGGTCCATGGTGCTGCTGGATCACCTGGAGAAATTCAAGTTCTGGACTTCCGCACAAAGCAAGCGCCAGAGAGAAGCAATGTGGATGAGACGCAGCAGGATGGAAGTGAATCTTCTTCTTCTGGCATCGATGCCGAAGATGACCTCGACAACACCGAGGCAAACATGCCATCAGATGCCCTAAAGCAGGTTCAGTTGCGTGTGGCCTGAGCCTTACTTGTCTCAATTGCTGTCAGAATCAATTCGTGGAGCATGAAGTCAGAGTGGAAGAGTTGATGCCAGAAAAGGGCACAATTCTCAGATGTGAGGTGAACATCTTGCAAGGATACAACGTTTCCAAACCTGAGACAACTGAGCGGGCAGAGCCGCTTAGCATAGTTGAACTCAGCACCGCAGCTGAATGTGGCAGGCCAAGTGGGTCGCAATGGTCAGGTGACAGAGGTAGAGTTCACAGAGCCAAGCAGAAGTCTCAGTGGAGAGCTTCTAGAGTAGCCCTTGTAGCCTACAAATCTATACAAATCACTGCAAATTGAAGCTAGGCCCATCTAGGCCTTAGGTTTCTGCCTGAAGCAGCTCTGAGAAGCTTGCGATGCAGGTGTTGTGGGTCCCTGTGCCATCTCATGCGCCAGCCCCTTGCCTTGCGGATGTTGCGGTTGTCGCTGGCTGCTTTTTGTTGATGCCTTTAATATCCTTTTGCCTTTTTTTGCTGCGCAAGGCATGGAACTCCGGTGGTTGGCGACATGTTGGCTCGCAAGCGATCTGGATCCCAGCGCCACAGAATCCTTGGAGGCACCTTCAACCGATTGATCCGATTGCGTGGCAATGCAGTCTGAGTTGGGCTTTTGACAGGTGGGAAGAGGAAACTCCAAATCGAGTGCGTTGGGATATGGGCGAAAGGAACCGACTCTCGGACCAATTGAGAATGCCATGTTGATGTCAATCAGAGTGTGACTTGGTGGGCAGAATAATAACGTACGGATACATATAGTGGTTTACATGACTTGTATGACATTGATTGCATGCCTGCGTGTACTTGATTGTGCCGCTGTGCCATAAGAGCCGGGTGGGTGGCCTGAGACACAGCTGGGTAGAATGCGGATGTTTCTCATCCAGGCTTCCTTTGGTGAGACTGTTGAATCCATGCACAGAGTGTGAGGGTTTGTGGATGCCTTGGGAGCTTGGGAGTTTTTGAAGGGCTTGGTGCATCTTTGTACTTTGTAAGGTTGTAGGATCTTGTAGGTACATGTTGCGCATGTTACAGGGAATTTCACGTCTCAGGACCACAGCCACTTCCTGGATGTTTCCATCTCCCGGTCGTGAGAAGGGGAACCTCAGGAGCTTCACCTCATCTGACATCCAAAAGACATGCCCACTGCCCATAGTCTGAAATTGTTGTGTTTACATTCTTTACTTACTTCAGGTGGTCTTAGATAGAGCTGTCAACAATATAAACCCGCTCTTCAGTCTGAACAGTGGTAGAAATATTCCTCCTTGTGGTGGTTCCTTGCTTTGGTCGTCGCTCGCGCGTGAGGATTATGACGCATGACGAACACCTCAGCAACGCGAACATGATCCATATCCATATCCTTCAGGCCTATGGCTTGTTCCAGCTGCATCCACTGTTATTCTATGAGCAGCACCCTTCAACGGTGGTAGCCATCCATGTCGCTGTGCCAAAAGGCCAGAGGCTCCATGATGCAGGCGGCCACAGCGATCTGGTGGCCGCAGCATGTCCCATGAATGTTTGGCGTTTGAGGAGGGCTTGGTGGCACGCGCAGGCTCGCTCGTGCTGTCCAGAAGTACTGTGAAGATCGATGGAGAGTGTAAAGTTATGTAAAGTTCAGTTAGGCATAGGCCCACCTGGGCCAACCTGAAGCCCACGTCAAACGCTTTTCCCTTGAGAGGCTGAGATGTCTTGACTGATAGTCATCGGGCTTGAGTAAATATATAGCTGAACAGACAGCAAATCCGCAGTGCACGTCGTACACAAACAGTGTCATGGACTCAGGGCAAATCACCCCTGGAAACACCATAAGACGAATCAGCCCATTTTGGATGCACGGCAGTGCATGGGTGCTTGCCACGATCTGCCATGACTAAAAAGATGTCATTAGGATGTCACTATTTAGAAACAGGTATCCGTATATCCCTGTGTTGGCCGGGTGTGCCATGCGTCAAGCTGACGTGGCTGGATCTTCCCGAGCACAGGCCCCTGCAAGCCTTTGATATCAAGCTGTCTTGGCTGTTTCGATGTAAGCAGTGATTTACCGTGAAGCTGCTGAAGGCCAGCACAAGCGCCAGCAGATTGGGTTCCCTGGCCTGCGTTATTGGAATTTTCGGATTATTTTTTAAAAATACATTTTTTTCTATGTCGTGGCTGCCGGTCACCAAAGTTAAAGCTGCTTGAGAGGACCCTCGTCTGCTTCAAGCACTTCACACGCCTAAAGCTTAGTAAAACTTACACTGGACATCATTGGATCAAAGTGGTGACCAAGTTGGTTGAAGTAGATTGCCTCAAGACATGTGAGGAGCCTGGAGCGCTGTCGGTTTCTTTGCAGCAAGCCGGGTGTGTCATAATTTCCCATCACTTTCATTTGATACGCCATGGGCCGTCTTGAGGATCATCCTCGGAGTGCGGGGTCTCCAACAATACCTCCTTCTCCTGCAGGATCTGTTGCATCGGGCTCCGCTTCTTGATTGCAAATTTGGAGCCCTTGGACCAGCAACGGAATGGCGGGAGCCAGCTTTGAATACGATTCTGTGTGTTTCCATCTAGGTTGGTGCAAGTGCAGTGTCCCTTGGGTGCATTTCAGTCAGCAAACACTGTTGTGATGCAGCTGCGGTGAAAGATGCTCAACACTTTGTGGTCAGTGAAACAATGCCATGGAACCCAGGGTTCAATCACGAAGTGTGCCAGGCGGGTGGGACTGTTCTGAACGCGGCAAAAGTCCATTCTCCAAATCATGCTCCAGTGCAGTGATTTTGCTGCTTTGCGTCTTCAAGGCCAATCTGGACCACCTTCAGAATCATCTGCGGGACCAAGACATGCTCAGAGCCTTGCCTTCGTGCTATTTAACGTGCACTGGAAGTGTGGGCCAAGCACATGGAAAGTGATATTGACATAGCGAGTCAATACGTTCTTATGTTGCCATAAGCAGTCGACGGCAGTCAGCCTTTTTGTGCCAATTTCCTTCAAGAGCTTTGCCGCTAAGGATTAGTGCTGGCGATGATGAAGGCACCGAAGTATGGCCAGTGGGAACCTGAGCAGCCTGAGCTTTGTTCATCTTTGTTCCAAGCCAGCACTCAGTTTACCCAGTTGACATTCGAATCTTTCGACTTGATGACTCTTGATGTGACCCCCGGACCGTACTGTAGGACTCTGATCCTGAGAGCTTCTTGGGAGAGACCTACCGGCAGAACCTGCAGGTGCAATATCGTAGCATTGAGGCATTGAGCATTGTGTTGAATCATGTTGAATCAACATCATGACATGAAACGACATCTCGCGGCAACCATGCCTTTGATCCCGGCTGACAGGATGTTTCCACCTTCCTGGATCAGAAAGAGCTGGAAATGAACCTAATCTTCGCAAAGATGCGAGCACAGCACCAGACTTGGACATGTCCGACCTAAGCCTTTGGCCTGTGCCTACATTTGCAGCCTGATGTGAATCCTTTATGCAAGGCTCTTGCAGGCAATCCCTGCGTCAAGTGGTCCTCCCTCTGGTAAACAGGCTGGGGCCCAGCAATTGCATCAAGTGCTGTTAGGCTGTTAGTTCATCCTGAATGCTTTGATTAGATTTGATTAGGGTAGCATGCAGCATGTAGCACACCTGCAGTCAATTCCAAAGTGGCTTTATTTTATGTTCGAAGGAAGTTTAGAAGTCAAACTTCCGACAATATGGACAGATGAAAAGCGGAGATGGGAAGAGTCAGAGAAGAGAAGAGAAGAAGAAAGAAGATCAAAAAGAGAAAAGTCTCAGAAGATAGAAGATGGAGGTGCGCGACAAGGTAGGAAAGTCGCGAAACACTGTTTTTCCAATGATTTGTGGCTCCGGAGGGTCGAAAAGTAGGCTCGCTAAAGCGGCGGGTGCGGAGCCAGCTGGCCAAATGAGAGATGAAAAATTGCACGCCGTTGTGGCGCGAAGCGCATTTCCAAGTCAAAATGTACAAAGCACACCAACGTCGGAGCACTTTTAGAAGTTGCGATGTCGAAAAAGTGCACGCCGTTGTGGCGCGAAGCACATTTCGAAGTCAAAAGTGTAAAAAATTGACAGGTTCAGAGCATTTTTGGAAGTTGAGATGTCCAAAAAGTGCACGCCGTTGTGGCGCGAAGCACATTTCCAAGTCAAAAGTGTAAAAAAACTGACGGTTCGGACCACTTTTGGACGTTCAGATGTCGTTTCGCGGGCGTGGCAGGCGCAAGGGATTGTGCACCTTGTCAAAAGCGAGCAAACGTGAGGGTTTTGTAGCATTTCCAAAACGATGGCAGGCGTGGGACATTTCCAGAGGATCTGCAAAGATGCATTTTCCGTGGCAGGCGCTGTGCAAGAGACATGTTCATCAGAGATGTTGGGTGGTCCGGGCACTGATTTCCTGAGAGGGGTTGCGTTTTGGAGCCTCAGATCTTCAGGTTTGCTGAGATGATTTTACGTGACAGGTGCAGCACTTCGTATGATCTGGCATCACTTTTCGTGGCAGGCGCAGTACTTTAGACAGGTGGAGTGAAAAAATCGCAAAACGCATTGGTAAGAGGCCGTCAGCTCTGCACTCAACTTTCCATTTTTGAAGGAAGTCTCGCAGAATGGTTTCGTTTTTGATGTTGTCAACGTCGAAAATTGAGGAAGTCTTGCAGAATTGTTTCATGTTTGACGTTGTCAAGTTCAAAAATTAAGGAAGTCTCGCAGAATTGTTTCGTTTTCGACGCTGTCGAGTTCAAAAATTGAGGAAGTCTCGCAGAATTTCGCTTCGTTTTCAAGCGTGCAGATAGACAGATAGACATCTGCAATAAAAACTACACGTACCACCACATTACACTACCACTACAACTGCAAGTACAAATATACTACGCTACATTACACAACACTAATTACACTACACTATACCAATTACATCTATTTACGCTACACTACACTAATTTCACCACACCACAACTACAACTGCAACTACGCTACACTAATTACACTACATTACAACTACAACTTACGACTACAACTCCACTACACTACAGCTACAGCTACACCTACGACTACAACTGCACTACACCACACTAGATCCAACAGTTGTGATGAGGTGACCACTGCAACCATTGCAACCACTCCAAAAAACACAGCTCCAACCACCTTTCGGTCCATCAGTCCATCAGTGGATTCGCTCTGCCATCCGTGATTCACAGCAACCAACCTCTCCTATAGGTTTCCTATTTTTGAAACTTCCGCCACCGCCTTGTGCGGTACTACTGGTATTTTGCTCTATCTGTTTTGTCAAGCTTGGGTCATCACAGTGGGGATTAACTACCCCGAAATAGCAACTCCAATCGAGGAAAATGATGACCATAGGAATGGTGGTTCCAGAATTTGAGAGAACCCCAAGTCATACAAAAAACATCAAACAAACCCGTTCCCTGCATCTCTGCCAGGCAGTTTCCTCACGGTCAGATGATGTCACTGCTGGGTGGAGAGATCTTGGGGGTCCCTTTTACCGTGCCCTTGCGCTGTATTTTAGCTGCACACAGCGACACCTCGCAGCACCTCCTTGCAGTCGTAGAGAGATGTATAGAGTTCAAGAGTTCCACAACTGTCTCAATGGATGCAGTTTTTGGCTTACAGACAGAGATTGAGTTTTTTTTTGGGGGTAAATTTCCCGGTCAGAAATAGCTCCGGGTGATAGGCAGGTCTTGATGCCTCTGCATTGTCATGACTTTGTCATGCAATATTTTTTTAAACCATATTTTTGATATCAGGGACTGTATATAGCAGGGTTGAGTTCGTCACCTGACGTCCAACTAGTCCAGCCATGTCGACACACTCCGGCGCTCTTGTGTGTGAGGTTTATGATGTAAGAATGCAGCAGCACAATTTGCTGCAGACCTTCAATGACGTCAACCATTTAAGAGTTGAGTTGCAAAATGAAGCTAGTGTGCTCAAACTAGGGGAGATGGTGCTTCAATGGAATCAGGTAGAGATGGCCAGCATTTCTTTGAGGAAAAACAGCTCAAGCTTCAATCTGGTGTTTGCCTCACGGGATAACAGCTGCTTCGATTTTCTCGAAGTTTCGCTTGCTATCACCCCAGCCGCTGCTTCGCTTGTTCAGAAAATCCACGAGAATGTTGAAGTTACAAGCATTCCCAGGGCCTTGTTGGTCTTGCCTTTAAGAAAGCTCTACTCAGGCGCGCCATTTTGGCAGGTTTACTGGTGGTATCAAGTTGTTTCCAATATGCTGGAGATCATGTTTGCCTTGACTTTCTTTGTCACCCTGCAGAGACGATTCAGCTCTTCTGCTGAGGGAGTGTTCTCCTCACTTGGAAAGCTTCGTGATGATCTTTGGACAATTCTGAGTGGGGAAGTGGAACTTCCAAGCTGGCTGGCGTTTTTGCGCAACACACTTCCATTTCCTGTCTATGTGGGGAGCTTCTTCCTCATTCCGATGGCTTTGCCACTTCAAATTCTGCTGCTACTGTTGGACTTTCACGCTGATATTTTGATACTAACAATGCTGTTGCCCCACGTGTTTCTCCTTTGGCACTCGGTCACGAGCCTGATTTATGCAGTTCGAAAGACTCTTTCCATCATACTAAAGATAGGCAGCATTGGAAAATCCATGTCAAAAGGAAGACAAGTCCAGGGAAACAAAAAGAACTCCTAGATTCCTAGATGCTGCAAAGAGAACGCTGGAGTTCTCAACCATCGCTGTGACAGAAATGAGTGAAGCCTGGATGGCGGAACAAAAAGCTTTCTGATTTGTGGTGATATTTTTGAAGGGCTGGGTATGAGTGAGGTGGGGTTGGGCAAGGAATAGAATATGTATTCGGATCTATTTGGTATTGTACAGCCCAAGGCAGCGAGAGCGCGAGAAGGAGAATCAGAATCTGCGCGAGATTGTGGCCTAGCTCAGTGAAGATCATGCTGCAAGATGCTGAAAAGTATTTGATGGTATTTGGTCCATTTCCCCACTCCATGTCCAAGAGCTTGCGGAAACCATTACGATGAATGACAGGATCCTAAAGACACGCTGAACCAAGAGCTATTCTTGGGATGTGTGGAAGCAGATTGGGACCCTTGCACTTTGCAAGGTTGCTCGCAGGAGAGGGGAGTTGGACCAACTCCATCAACAGCTGGACCAACTTGGAATATCCAGAAGTGGCACTTAAGCTTGCATTAGCGCAGGTTTGTGGAATTGTTGCTGCCTCTGACTTTGACCATCCGATTTGTTCAATTGGTCAGTGAGATACCCAACACCGAACAAAAACTAATCACCTTGGACATGCAAACGAGGCACGAAACCAACGCTGGCTGCGCAAGCCACTCAGATTTGTGCCGAGGAGGCTTAGCAAGGCTTTGTTTGCAGATCGTTTCCATAGCTTTCCGCATGTTTCCACTTTGGATTTGTCCAAGGTTCAGCTTCTCCAACCTCGAAACCTCGCCGCTCGCAGGTGCGACTCGGTGCGACTTGAAACTGGGGGGTTTTACGCGAAACAGACTTGTCTTCTCGATTTGAAAGCCTTTGACGACACATTGGGGTAGTAACATGGCTTGACACTGCATGACAGGTGCTGTCGCCGTCATGGCAGTGACACCAGCTAGCGCCAGTCAAGCCAGCCAAGTCGGCCAAGCTAGCCATGCACAATTCCAAGCGACTCACATTGGCGCCAGCCCTGCCCAAGTCCAAAGCGACTCCTTTGGAAGGTGCTTTGGAAGATGGAAGACACTGAGTGAATTTCTATTGCATGCTATATTGGGATGTAAATTAGACGCGTTATTTTGGACTATAGATAGAGTATAGTATATTCTATGCGCGTGTGTATGAGCTCCGGCATTTGCATAAAGAAATCCCATCCTGATATATTAATATATTTTCTGGGGTCTGTGGCTGGATGTTTGGAATCTGAAGTATCATTCGGGTAGGATATGTAGACGGTGCTGTAATCGGAAGTGGCAAAGGCATGGTCAGCTGACAGCTGGTTCAAAAAGATGTTTGAGAAGCTTTTCCAAGGCAAGCTCTGCTTCAGGTTGCTTGGCGGAAGTTATGAGCCCTTCAAAGATTTGCTTGGTATGTTTTGACACTTGGAGCGGAGCGGTACTCAAGCTGGCATATTGGTAATGCGGATATACTTGCTTTGCACATTATGGGTCATAGTGGCATAAGCCCTCTCGTTTTTGCAAGGCTGAGCCGCGAGTTGGGCCACAGCTGCCACTGCCGAACACCCCGCATTTTCCGGCTGCAACAAGTGCTGCGCCTGGCTCACCTCTTGACAATGCATCACCATCCCCAAAAAGACACGAACTGAAACGGCCCCATAATTGGCCCCCTAATTTCCACAAGCTATGGGTCAATTTTGTGGGTCGGTTGGTGCCCAATTTTTGAGCCGCATTTAAATGATCCAAAGCAAAACACTGGTGGATTTGCCAGATTTCTTGAGCTATTTGCTTAGCTATTTGCTTAGGTCCCCGTACAGCTCCACCATCCCCGTTTGATCTCGAGAGTGAAGGACGCGTAGGGAGAGGATGAGGGCGGGGTTGTATCAAGGCTTGGGTGGTCATCTGCGCTGACATTGAAGCACTGTCTGCACTCTTTGGACACTCTTCTGACACGAGGAGACCCGGATCTGAGAGGTCAAGAAGGAACAGGTGGGAAGTTGGTCTTGTGACACCTTGCAATGTTCATCAACTCCGCTTGGAAGGTGTTGGAGCTTTTGGAAGCCCGTTGGATGATGCTTTGCACCTTGGCAGTACGGAAACCATTGTTGAACAATCTAATCGAAGGGGAAGACCCCTGGCTAGCTGAGTTAAATTGAATGCCTTGTTCTCATATAATTTCCTTCATACCTAGCTGTCGCTGAGGAAGCAGAACGTCAGCAACTTTGCCAGCAAGGCGGGTGCATCGCAAAATGGTTTCAAGGTGTGAGCGCGTGACCTGCAGCGAAAAGAGAACGACTACAGAGCGAAACACAACAAAACAGATCAAAACAATATGTAAGGACATAGCCACTGAGGTGGTGAAGTGGTTCATAGCAGACAGCTGCGCAGGTTGATGCGGCTGCAGCACCAGCACCGAAGCAGCCTTCTATGACACGCAGCGAGTCTGCAACATCTTCGGCTCCTTGGCAGAATTAGTCGAACTTGCCACCTGTTGTGGGTTATTAGCTAGAGAGTTTGTGCACCAGCAGAAGGGTAGATGATCTTAGGTTTCACTCTCGCAGATGTACAAGGAAGGACAAGGTTCGCTTTCATTTGTTGCAGCCACTTTTTGCACAGAACAGCTGGCGTGTTTGCGGCAATCAACGGAGGCAACGCTCAGAGGCGATAGTGCTGCGCTTGTCCTGAACTCGCGTGCATACATTTTTTTTGAACGTCACTAGGATCAGAGCAGCTTGCAAAGTACAGGCTGAAAGCAAGCAGTCCAGCAAGTGACCCCAGACTATGATCAACGGCAACAAGTGACAGAAAACACGCCAGAGAGCTAGCTGACCTGAACGTAGAGAATTGTCCTCCTACACATCGAGCTGCCACAAGGCTGCAAAAAGAAGGTCATAAATCCGTCCTTCCAAGCAGCATTTCTACGTGTTTACTGTTTATATTTGCATTTTATCGACACTAAGCCAGGCATTTGGACATTTGCGCTCGGTCTTTGTTGTGGCACCACATTATCGAAGGATATTCTTCACTGCTGGACTGCCTGTTAGAACCGCTTTAAAGGAAGCAACCAGCGCGGACATGCGCACTTTCTGCCACACTTCACAGTAGCAAATTTTAATTGTAGAGCTTCGCACACCGGCGATGCCATAAGGGTTATGTTGGTAGTGTGAGTGTTGGTGTTTCTCATGTTCTCTTTGCACACGCGCGCGCATGGTGTGATATTATTTACATATTGCAGCTTGTAACCATCTTCAGGCCCAAGTTGAGGTGCATATGGCTTCAAAATGAGGACATAGGCCGACTACGAAATCCTCTCCGTTGGTCCCAACTTGGTGTGAAGCTGTCGCCAGAGGGTCACGAGTTGCGCTACTTTTGGACTTGGGGTCCATCTGGATCGCTTTGGGCCCAACTTCAGCTCAATTGGTGCCAACTTGGGTTCCAGTTGGGGAACTCGGGTGAAGTTGGGCCAAGTTGGGCCCCTTTGGGGGGAGCCTCGGCCCAAGTTGTGCCCCCCGGGCCAATTTTGCAGACTCAATGCGACACGCTGAAAACTTGCATTTTTACCCCTATTTCCAACGCTTTTTGGACATTGGACCTGTCTTGGGCCCAGCTTTGGCACCAGTAAAGCCCAAGTTGCGTACGCCGGTTGGGCTCAAGGTGGCCCCAAGTTGGAGCCAACTGGCCCGAGCCCAAGTGGGCTCCTTTTCGGCCAACTTAAGGCCAAGGACGTGCCTAACGTTGCCTTCTGAAACTGCAAGAAACTAGCTTCAAATCTCTGTCCACAATGCATTTCCCAAGCCTCCAAAACGCAGGCTTCGCCACACTGAAGCGGCATGGCAGTGAAGGACGGATGGTGGTTGCGCACTGAAGCGGTATGGCAGTGAAGGACGGCTCGTGCTTGCGGCAGGCAGCTGCTCGTGCCTAGCGTTGCTTTCTAAGAGTGCAAGAAGCTAGCTCCAAAGCTTGCGATTTTTCAAGCCGCCTTCCGAAATGTATTCCCCTTGGCTCCGCATTGCCATTGCTTTTTTCTCCAATTCTTTCTCTGGCCTCTTGCTGCTTCCGCTTCTTGCTTGCTACCTTCCTCCCCAGCTCCGTTCGCCTTCTCTTCCCCAGCTTGCTGTCTTCTCGTCTAGCCTCAAGCTTCCAAAGGCACCTCCCCAGCCTCAGAAACCACCTTCCCCCTACTATCGTCGGTCTTGTTCACGCCCTTCCACTGAACCTCTGCATTCCTTTCACATATGTCTTCCCTACTAGTGCTTCCTTTTGCAGCTTGCTTTCTTCTTTCGGCTTCTTTCTCTTGCCACTTGCTTCCTCTTTTCTTTTTCCTCTTGCTTTCTTCTTTCGTCTGCTTCTTTCTCTTCCTGCTTGCTTTCTTATCTGGCTTTCTAATCGTGCTTTATATTTTGCTTGCTCTTGCAGCTGGCTTGCTTCTTTCTTCTGCTTCTCTTGCTTACTATCTTGCTTGCTTTTCTTCTTTTATCTGCTTCTTTCTCTTGCCTCTTGCGCCTTCTTGCTTGCAACCTTCTTGCTTGCAACCTTCTTGCTCTTGCGGCTTGATTTCTTTTCTTCCGCAACCTACTCTTGCGTCACGACACCTGCTTAAATCCCAACCTTCTGGCTGTTGCGGCTTGCTTTCTTCTTCGTGCTCTTGCGGCAAACCTAATAATCTTGCGATATTTTGTGTAACTTTCTTCTTTCGTCTACTTCTTTCTCGTGCCTCTGGCTTATTTTTGCTTGCCACCTGCTTGCTCTTGCGTCTGTTTCTCTTGCTTGCTATCTTGCGAGTTTTTCTTCGCTCGTCTGCTTCTTTCTCTTTCTTCTTGCTCTCAATGCCTTCAAATATTCTCGTTCTTCCTCTTCACTTCACTGAAACTCTCCGTTTGGCATTGCTTCTCTGGTGCGCTCCCCTGGTTCCCTGGGGTCGGCGGATTTCCTGCGGCAAGAACCCTTACACTCTGATGATACTAGCAGGTTGGATTCAAGGACAGTGTGCTTCGACAAAGGCATGTCTGAAGAGTTTGACAGGACAAGCTAACGGCATCGATTGGTCGAATTGGCCAGGGTGGTTAAAAAGTGCGACCAAACCGGTGTTAAAGCCACTATTCAAGCTGCTCAGGTTGGATGTCAGCAGGATTCAGCAAGGAGATGTGCGTAAATATGCCACAGACATCCACAAAAACACCTCCTGCCTTTGCCACAGGTCTCGATGAAGTTTGGAGGCTGCGACGCAGCCAATCGAAGATTGGGATCTTGACCTTAGGTCACTTTGGTCTCACCGTTTTGCATTCTGTGCTGAAACAGCATGCCACCAAAAGCTGTGAGGAGCCTTCGGCACTGGCGACGCAGAAAATGGAACCAAGTCCTGTTACCGTTAAGTTACGTGATTTTGCACAAATTAAACGTGAACGGTCTAACTTCATTGACATCAAGATGCAATGATGCACCACTTGAGGGAACATGACTGTATAACACATACGTATGCTGTCCAGAGTTGTCTCCGGGTTTCATCGGCGTTTTATGTCTTGCTGATTCCCCGTGCTCAATCCGCAGCACTCTTCAACCATCTTTCATGGACAAAGCAACCATCGATGGAGAAACCTTGGCCAGCAAACCAGCCTGTGAAGGTGGGCCTAGAATATAAAATTTGCAGCAACTTGGATGTTAGTCTTAACTTTATCGAATCAGCTGGGCAATGCCAACACGGTACTGTGTGATCTGGGGCAAAATTTTGGGATTTCGCCAAATTGGGGCCAGGTGCAAGCTTACAGCATCGGTGGTGATGCGATCAGCCCTGCCAGTCTCTCAGAGGGTTGGATTAAACTTCAGCAACCAAGGGCCAGCGACGGATGAACTGGATACCATGGCGGACTCAGTGTGAGTTCCAAACAGCAACTGTTTTTGGACGATCTGCAGCTTTGAGAGTCAGATCAAACAACGCCATCGCTCCATTAGAAAGCTAGACTTGAACTGTGCAATGAAATGCCAGTGACTAGTGTTTGTCATTTGGAGTCGTTTGCGTTTGGTTACATGGCAGTGTGGCTCATAGTTTGCCAAAGATTCTCACACGGCAAAGCAGCCAATAAAGAGCTTTTGACTTTTTGACAACTTGATTTCCGAGAGCCATGAAGGTTCTACTCGTTCGGCTCTTCGAACTCATTGTGATCTTTCCTTTTTGTCAAGCTGATGATCCAGACTTTTCAGTTCATGCGATGCTTCAATCTGCTGTTGGCCAAGACCTGCCCGCAGACTGTGTAAATGAATCCGTAGGAACACAATGGTATGGTGGCTTCCAGGCCGCAGTGGATACCATGATGCAGCGCACCAAGCGAACAATGCAGCTGGGTTTGACTTCCATGGCTAAAGGGGTTTTGTTGCTCACCGATGAGACTGCTGCCTGTGGTGACAAACCAGAGCTTCATCCATTGAGAGACCAGGCTGAGAGATTGAAGGTGCTTGCCAGCACCCGAAGCCTTGCCGGACTTGATTCAACAGTGCGCTACGAACCGCTGAAAGCTCTCTCTGTGGGTGGCATTGATGTACATTCGGAGCTGAATGCCTTGCTGGTGGCCTGGCGGATGAATCATGGCCCAGAAGTGGTCGGCAAGACGCTGGCCAGGTTCCTAGCAGACTTTTCGGAAGATGCAGAGGACTCCAGTCCAGAGCCTCCTCCGGAAGCACCAGTTCTAGAGACACAGCACCGGCCTGGTGCACTGCAGCGCACACCTTCGTTTTGGGCATCGCTGTTGAATTCAGCTTTCCGGCGCTTGAAGGATGACAGTAGCCCAGTCTCTGTAGCATGTGTTGCTGAGGGGACTGCGCAACTGAATGCGGACAAATTTGATGAAGCCTTCGGCAGAATGATGCAAAAGACTCAGCGAAGTATGCAACATGGGCTGAAGATTTTAGCTTTGGCTGTGGACTCATTGCTGTCAATCCTGCAGGAACACGTCATGTGTCAACAACCTCTGCGCTCTGCAGCTGGCGCTGCCAGACTGCGTGCGGCTGCAAGCCGTTTGGAGACACTGGTGGGCACCCGGTCCTTGATCAATCCTGGGACCAATGTCAAGTATGAGGCCAAGCAAATGCTGAAAGTTGGCGAGAAAGATGTTCACTTAGAGCTGAATAAGCTGATTACAGCATGGATCAAAGACCAGAGCGCGGAGGATGTTGGGCAGGGTTTGGCAGAGTTCTTTGAGGATTTCCAAGAGGAGGAAGAGGAAGAAGATGTCAGCAGCCAATTTGGAGGACAAGTGGCAGATCTTTCAGATATGTTAAGCGATGCTGTGTCAGCTGCGGGAGGTTGCTCTGGAGCCAGTCCATCCAGTTGTTTTGAAGACCCTGCGCTGAAAGCATTTGCCGCTGAAGTCGAGCATGGCATTGGCCACATGCTGAAAAAGAGGCGCAAGACCATGCAGCAGGGTCTGAAAGAACTCTCGGATGCTGTGGAGAAGGTCTTTGCCGCCGCATCGCCCACTTGTCAGCAATGCACTGGCACCTCTATCATCCGTCAAGGTGCTCGGAAGGTTAGACACTTGACGCGAAAGATGGTGGTTGACTATGGCACCTACATCAAGTATGAAGCTTTGAAGTCTTTAGAGGTTGGAGGAGTAGCCGTGCACGGTCAACTGAATTCCTTCCTTGGAGCCTGGAAGCTCAGGGGTGTTCGGGAGGCCGGAACCCCGCTTGGAATTTTGTTCCAACGCTTCTCCACGATCACAGGGCACGATGAGTTCTGACAAAAAAAAAGTTGAGGGAGTAGGGCAGAAGCTCCAGCTTTCGTGCCCTAAATTTCAATTACGCCTGTTCATTTCAAGGGAAAGGATGATTTGAATTGATTTGAGCATTCTATCCAACATGTGACACATGTGCCCACCTTCGCGAAAGTGGCCTGAAAGCGTGAAGTCCTAGTCGTGGAAGGGTTACAGGGCTGCCCATTTCAGTCCTGCTCATTGCATCTAGTTGGTGCAAGAAGAATGCATGCTAGCATTTGACGACATCTTGGAGAGGGCGACGAAGAGAGAGAGAGAGAGAGAGATTTGACGACATGGCAAAGAGACGGCAAGGTGCTTGTGCTGCCAGCTGCGTCAACAGCTCGTGATGTGAAGAATGCCTTCAGCAAGGTGGGGCCGCAAATGTCTCGGAAAGGGATGAGGTGCTAGCATGCAATTGATTCTTGTTTGAAATCACTGCTCCTGGTGAATCCGATCTCGAGGTGATGGGTGTTTCAGTGCAAGAGCCAGGCCCTCCAAAATCTGGTAGCAACAAATGGCAGCACCGGACAGCCAAACTTCTCCCCTTCTCTCTGAGTCATTCTTCATTTGGCGGTTTCTTAAAATGGGATGGTTTTGGGGCGCCCCAATTTTGGGAAACACCTGGTTGGGTGGTGACGGGGCTTTTGCTGGCACGCGCGCCAAGGCTTGACCTGGTGGTGAATGAACTGCAGCTTTCAGATTCAGAGACCTTGCCAGTGAGAGACGAGGCGTTACTAAGCTGCAGGACAGGAAGAAGGATCCAAGCGGGCTGTTGTTTGATGCTGAATATATTTGTTGGGTTGCCGAGGCTTTGCCTGACTGTCATCAAGAAGCATGTACCTCAGCTCACTCTCCATCGAGAGTCCTGGCTGTTTGGTTGCTTTTCGTTAGCTTCAGAGATGGATTTGTGGTTTGATGAATTTGACGTCTCAGGTCGCGTTTGCCGGAGTTCCTGCGGCAAAAGCGGCTTGCATCCCTCGAGGCTTGGGTGAGCTGACAAGCCCCATTGGAGCGTGGTGATGATGTCATTTCATCTTCTTTCAGCCCCCCTACAGTAACGTGCTCCCGAGGAAAGAAAACAACAGACACAGCAAAAGAATACAGAACATACAAATAAGATCAAATAGGTGAAGAAAGAGATTAATTTGCACCACATGTTTGCAGGCATGCAAATAATATAAATTAACATCAATTCATTGAGTTGTTCTTGTCCAAGGCGAGAGCAGCTGACGGCTCCACAGCCTTGCACATTGCAGCGCGACAGGTGCAGTCCTTCAGTGATGGCAACCGACACACTCATGAATCCATTTAATTTGTATGTAAATGAGTAGGTCTACCATGGTTTATCTTCGAACTGGATCAATTAAGGGACCATTATGCTTGGGGGGACTTGGGGATGCAAAGCAGCATTTCCTGTGAAATCTTTCCATTTAAGTGACTGGGTTATACTTGAGACTCCAGACAATTTGAGATCTGTGTTTATGATCCCAATCGACCCCTTGCGGACCATAGTTCTCGCTCGACATCAGGGTGAGCTGAGCCTGGCTGGCGAAATCCCTCAGAGCAACGGGCAGCTTGCGAACGCTCTGGACACGGAGGGTGTGAACTGGTAGAGAGATGTAGAGAGATGTAGAGAGTGCATTTCTTGTGGAACGTTCGAGACATGGCTTCTCTGAGAACAGCAGAGAGAAAATCCATGCAAATCCCATGGTTGATCATTTTCACACTGAAATCTTTCTTTTTTGGGCCCCCATTTTGACAAGCCCAGATGTTGTCACCTGACCTAAGCACGTGAGTCAGAGTTTGCAGCAGATTAAGGCCCAAGCTGTTCTCATGGGAACACATACTTTGGGGTGGATTGCCATAGTGGTTGCCACATTTAGCTATGGATCCCTTTTCGTCCCAGTGAAGAACTACGACATTCATGATGGTATTGTGTATCAGTGGTTCCAGTGTTGTGGGATTCTTCTCGCTGGCTTGTTGCAAGCCCTTTGGCGGAATGATTGGGAGGCTCCGGGCTTAAGTGCTCCAGGCTTCTACGTTTGCAGAGAAGGAGTTCTATCTGGAGTCTTCTTCCAGCTGGCGAATGTCTTGGCCACACAGGCGGTGCGAACCTTTGGAATGAGCCATTACTTCACCACTCAAAAGGTCGCTGGTGGTGTCACAAGTGGTTTGAGCTGTTTCTTTTTTCAAACAATCAAGCATTCGTACATATTTCTGAATGTTGTTTTCACACATTATCACATATATTCAAAGATTCTAAGGATTAAAAAATGACGGCATATGTGTAGAGATGATTGGACGATAATTGCCAAGGACTAATATTTTTGGAGTTGAAACCAGGTTTGA